CCTCTCTCTCTGAGTCGTCCTCTCTCTCTGAGTCGTCCTCTCTCTCTCCGAGTCGTCCTCTCTCTCTGAGTCGTCCTCTCTCTCTGAGTCGTCCTCTCTCTGAGTCGTCCTCTCTCTGAGTCGTCCTCTCTCTCTGAGTCGTCCTCTCTCTCTGAGTCGTCCTCTCTCTCTCTGAGTCGTCCTCTCTCTCTGAGTCGTCATCTCTCTCTGAGTCGTCCTCTCTCTCTGAGTCATCCTCTCTCTCTGAGTCGTCCTCTCTCTGAGTCGTCCTCTCTCTCTCTGAGTCGTCCTCTCTCTCTGAGTCGTCCTCTCTCTCTGAGTCGTCCTCTCTCTCTGAGTCGTCCTCTCTCTCTCTGAGTCATCCTCTCTCTCTGTGTCGTCCTCTCTCTCTCTGAGTCGTCCTCTCTCTCTGAGTCGTCCTCTCTCTCTGAGTCGTCCTCTCTCTCCGAGTCGTCCTCTCTCTCTCTCTCCACGAGAGTGAACAGACAACCGCGTGGCATGCCACAAGTCGAAGTCGTTAAAAAAGAGTTTCCGGATTGCACCGCTCGCCACCTGTTGCTCGGCGCAATGTCCGACGTTTCTCCCCCACGTGCTGGGAGCCTCTTCACGTAAGACCCTGCGGGGTGCTCTCAAGAGCACGGCGGAGAGCGAAAGAGTCGCACGGCGCGACGGGAACGTCTCGTCGTCGAACACCCCGCGACGTACGCCTCGGAAAAATCCGTTGCGGCCACAACCACGACGGCACGAGCAGTAGCGACGTACGGCGCGAAAGAAGTCCAACGCCGTCCACGCAAACACTAAAAGGGCGACAGTCTCGCGCCCGCTGCGTGACAAGCCACAAGATTCGTGCGGCGAGCCGCCGTTTTCTTCCTAGATGCGAAGCTTTCGCGACTGCGGGGAATGACCCCGTGGTTCTCTCGGTGAAGTCACGTGGGAAATAAAACGAGATGATAACAGGATGCGACGTTTCGGTTGCAGCACCAGATGGTTGCTTGTGTTGCGACCGAAACGTCGTATTCTGTTATTGTTTTTTTTTTATTTTATTTCCCACGTGACTTTACCGAAATAAACAATTAGTGCTTTCTTCTTCTTCTTCGAGCGCAGGGTCCCCACCCCCCCCCCCCCCCCCCACCGCGCAACCAAAATAAACAAGAAGGGGCATTTTTTTTGTTGTTGTTCGAATTTGGCAACAACAACAAAAACACTCCCAATAATTTGTCCAAGACCCAGCAATGAGCCGGCAACGCAACGCGGTGGATCCGAGACAGCGGGGGGCCCTCAATAAATAATTGTCGCACAGCGGCGGTCCTTGAAGAGCCACCGCGTGCGGCTTCTGGAGCCGCAGGTTGTCGACTTTCCCCCCCCCCCACCCTGCCCATGGCCAACTCGACATTCACGGCCAGAGAATCGAAAAACCACGAGAACAAGAGGAGCCACTTTGGTTCGAATTTCAAGAACCGCGTGCAGCCCCCGGAGCCAGCCGCAGGTCGTCGAACGCCGTCGTAGCACAGGGCGAGTCGACGTCAAGTCCACGTGAAGTCCACGTGAAGTCCACGTGAAGTCCACGTGAAGTCCACGTCCACGTGAAGTCTACGTGAAGTCCACGTGAAGTCTACGTCGACATGAAGTCCACGTGAAGTCCATGTCAAGTCCACGTGGAGTCCACGTGAAGTCTACATGAAGTCCACGTGAAGTCCACGTCCACGTGAAGTCCACGTGAAGTCCACATCGACGTCAAGTCCACGTCAAGTCCACGTCCACGTGAAGTCCACGTGAAGTCCACGTGAAGTCCACGTGGAGTCTACGTAAAGTCCACGTCCACGTGAAGTCCACGTCAAGTCCACGTGAAGTCCACGTCGACGTGAAGTCCACGTCGACGTGAAGTCGACGTGAAGTCCACGTGAAGTCCACGTGAAGTCCACGTGGAGTCTACGTGAAGTCCACGTCCACGTGAAGTCCACGTCAAGTCCACGTGAAGTCCACGTCGACGTGAAGTCCACGTCGACGTGAAGTCCACGTGAAGTCCACGTGAAGTCCACGTGAAGTCCACGTGGAGTCTACGTGAAGTCCACGTCCACGTGAAGTCCACGTCAAGTCCACGTGAAGTCCACGTCGACGTGAAGTCCACGTCGACGTGAAGTCGACGTGAAGTCGACGTGAAGTCCACGTGAAGTCCACGTGAAGTCCACGTGAAGTCCACGTCCCAGGGTGCAAGTTGGCGAGCAGCGCGACTGACCCCACCAGAGAGACATCGCGCTGGGGTGGTGGGGGACGTGAAGTGGCGCTGGCGCTCGCTCGGCGTGTGGGCCATCTGTGCGTGCGTGCAGTCTCTGCGCCATGGTGGGGGGAGGGGGGGGTAGTGGGAGGGAGTAGTGGGGGGGGTCATCGTTAATTGTCCCACTTGGGGAAGAGGCGCGCGGCAGTGCGAGAGTGGTCACCGTTCCCAAGCGGTCGATGATGGAGCCATCGCAGTTGTTGTTGTTGTAGTTGTTGTTGTAGTTGTTCTTGTTGTTGTTGCGAGGCTGTGTAACCCGCCGAGTTTTCGGTCGACGACGACCTCAAGTTATCCCACCGAGCACAGGCGGACTGCTTCTTGCTAAAATCCGCTTTGCTTCCTTCCCAGCGGTGTAAATGTGGCGGCAGAACGACGTGTCGAGAGTGAACACTGTGAACCCTGCGACTGCGTGCCGAACGGAATCAAGGGTTCACCTTCAGTTTTTGTATTTGACACGCGGAGAGACCCCCAGGCTGGCAGAGAGAGTCACGGGCACGCTCAGAAACCCACAGGCACACACACAGAGACCACAGGCACACACAGAGACCCACAGACACACAGAGACCCACAGGCACACACAGAGACCCACAAACACACACACACACAGACCACAGGCACACACAGAGACCCACAGGCACACACAGAGACCCACAGACACACACAGAGACCCACAGGCACACACACACACACACAGAGACCCACAGGCACACACCGAGACCCACAGGCACACACAGAGACCCACAGACACACACACACAGACCACAGGCACACACAGCGACCCACAGACACACACAGAAACCCACAGGCACACACACAGACCAGAGACACACACAGAGACCCACAGACACACACACAGAGACCCACAGGCACACACACACAAAGACCACAGGCACACACAGAGACCCACAGATACACACAGAGACCCACAGGCACACACACACATAGACCCACAGGCACACACAGAGACCCACAGACACACACAGAGACCCACAGATACATACAGAGACCCACAGACACACACAGAGACCCACAAACACACACTCACACAGAGACCACAGGCACACACAGAGACCCACAAACACACACACACACAGAGACCACATACACACACAGAGACCCAGAGACACAGACACAGAGACCACATGCACACACAGAGACCCAGAGACACACACAGAGACCACATACACACACACACAGACCCACAGACACACACACAGAGAGCACAGACACACACAGAGGCCCAGAGACACACGCAGAGACCCAGAGACACACAAGAGACCCACAGGCACACACACACAGAGACCACATACACACACAGAGACCCACAGACACACACAGAGACCACAGACACACACAGAGACCCAGAGACACACGCAGAGACTCACAGACACACACACAGAGACCACAGACACAGAGACCACAGAGACCCAGAGACACACAGAAACCCACACGCACACGCACAGAAACCCACAGACACACACACAGAGACCATAGACACACAGAGACCCAGAGACACACACAGATACCACAGACGCACAGAGACTCACAGGCACACACACAGAGACAACAGACACAGAAACCCACAGACACACACACAGAGACCACAGACACACAGAAACCCACAGACACAGAAACCCACAGGCACACACGCACACAGAGACCACAGACACACAGAGACCACAGACACACAGAGACCACAGACACACAGAAACCCACAGACACACACACACAAAGACCACAGACACACAGAGACCACAGACACACAGAAACCCAAAGACACACACACACACAGACCACAGGCACACACAGAGACCCACAGACACACACAGAGACCCACGTACTGCATCAGGCACACATCTGAGGGCAAGCCGACCTCGGGGGGGAGACCCAAGGACCGGTTGCTGAGATACTCGTCGCTGGCGTCAATCGTGTTGGTAGCCGTGTGCGCTGGAATTGAACTCGGGGGCTGGGGGGGGGCGAGTGGGGGGACGAGGCGGGGCTCTTGGCGGCTTCGTGTCGCGGCGCGCTCGGACTGAGCGGGAGCTTCGCTCCGTCTGTGGGTCTCTGTGCGTGTCTGTGGGTCTCTGTGTGAGTGTCTGGGTTTCTGTGTGAGTCTATGGGTCTCTGTGAGTGTCTATGGGTCTCTGTGTGAGTCTCTGGGTTTCTGTGTGAGTCTATGGGTCTCTGTGTGAGTCTATGGGTCTCTGTGTGAGTCTGTGGGTCTCTGTGTGAGTCTATGGGTCTCTGTGTGAGTCTATGGGTCTCTGTGTGAGTCTATGGGTCCCTGTGTGAGTCTATGGGTCTCTGTGTGAGTCTATGGGTCTCTGTGTGTGTCTGTGGGTCTCTGTGTGTCTCTGGATCTCTGTGCGTGTCTATGGGTCTCTGTGCGTGTCTGTGGGTCTCTGTGTGTCTCTGGGTCTCTGTGTGTCTCTGGGTCTCTGTGCGTGTCTGTGGGTCTCTGTGTGTCTCTGGGTCTCTGTGCGTGTCTGTGGGTCTCTGTGCGTGTCTCTGGGTCTCTGTGCGTGTCTGTGGGTCTCTGTGCGTGTCTCTGGGTCTCCGTGCGTGTCTCTGGGTCTCTGTGTGTGTCTGTGGGTCTCTGTGCGTGTCTCTGGGTCTCTGTGCGTGTCTCTGGGTCTTCGTGCGTGTCTGTGACAAATCTCCCCTGCACCTCATCCACCACCACACCCCCACGCCTCCCCACCCGTCGACTGCGAATGTGGGGGCCTCAGACGCACGTGGTGGTGCTGCTGCTGCTGTTGTTGTTGACGCCGCACTGCGCGTGCGCAGCAGCAGCAGCAGCCTGCGAGCTTTCGTCCCGCGCGCTGCTGCTGCTGTTGTTGTTGGTGGTGGTCCAGTAGAGTGGGTACGGCTCGCGTCGGAAGAGGCAGGCGGCGGCCGTGCGGAACTTGCGCGACATCGCGTTGTAGAGCACCGGGTTGATGGCCGCGCTCAGGTAGAAGAGGATCATCGCGGCCAGGTTGAAGTAGCGGCTAACCTGGTGCACGAGTTTGCTCTCCGAGTCGAAGGAGCTCGTGAAGAGGTAGCGACCCACGTGGAACGGCAGCCAGCAGAGGATGAAGGCGACCACCACCACGGCTGCGGTGTCCATGAGCGGCACGCAACACGCGGCACACGCAGGCGCGCATTAGGGGGAGGGCGATAGGATCGCCATCATCATCATCACCAACATCATCATCATCATAATCGCTACCATCATCATCATTCGTAACTATCGACATCATTTTCACCGTCATCATTGCCATCGTAATTAACGCCGTTTTCATCATTATCGTTATCATCAGGATCATCATCATTGCCGTCATCATCATCATCGCCATCATCATCATCATTATCGCCATTATTATCATCACCATCATCATCATTGATTATCGACATCATCTTCACCGTTATCATTGCCATCATGATCATCATCATCGCCATCATCGTTAACGCCATCATCATCGTCATCGTCGCCATCATCATCATCATCGTCGTTTATCGCCTAACGTGAGGAATGTGTTTCCGTGATTCTCAGATTCACTGCAGATTGAAACAAACAACGACAAAAACGCGCCTCTAGATTTGACCCAAGCGCCGCACAACATTTCGGATGATCCGGAATCTTAGTCGCTTGGTTTGGAATGTATCTATAATCGTGACGTCACAGCAGGTGGCATCGCTCACGTGAAATCCGTGACATCACGTCCGGTCATTCCTGCCCCGGGACCTGGCCGCCTTTGTCTCCAACCCCCCCTTCATGCTGATGTTTGCAACAGCAACAACAACAAACGCCATTTGCCACCAAGCGGTGGTGACGTCATCACCACGGGGCCTGTGCCAGGCTAGGTGCACGTTAAGTCCACGCGAAGTGTCGAAGGCCCGCTCGCTGGCAGGAAATCACGGGACAGACCCAGGTGCCATGGGTTTACTGACCGAGATGACTGGCCGATGTTTGCACACGCACACAAACCCACACACGCACACACCCACACTCGCACACACCCACACGCACACACACCCACAAAGATAACAGGGAGGTCAGCCTACAATGCGAATGCACTAGTGCCCACGGGAGGTAATGACAGGGGTATCAGTTGTGAGTGTGAAGGGACTGGTGGCTATGGGAGGTAATGACAGGGGAGTCAGTTGTGAGTGTGAAGGGACTGGTGGCCACGGGAGGTAATGACAGGGGAGTCAGTTGTGAGTGTTAAGGGACTGGTGGCCACGGGAGGTAATGACGGGGTATCGGTTGTGAGTGTGAAGTGACTAGTGGCTACGGGAAGTAATGACAGGGGTATCAGTTTTGAGTGGGAAGTGACTGGTGGCTACGGGAGGTAATGACGGAGGTATCAGCTGTGAGTGCGAAGGGACTGGTGGCTACCGGCAATGATCGAGAAGGAAGCGTGGTCACGTGACGGGAGAGGACGGTGGAGTCTGCCGGTGGAGCGAGCGTCCAGAGTCAGCGAGAATGATCGAGAAGGGGGGGGGGGTTTGGCCTCGTGTTGGTATATAAGGGGGAGATGCGCGGGAGACTCGGGGCTGTTGCGGTGGGGGTCTCCGCCTGATGTCAAGTGAAGGTGTCTTCAATAAAGTGCCATCTCAAGAGCAGTGTGCCAAGTTGCCATTACACATGCACTCTGGATCAACTAAGCACGTGCTTGCTGTACTGCTCCATTCTTCCCCGGAAGGCGAATCCATTTCACACACCATTACTCTCCCCCACCTCTTCCCCGGCCTCACCCCACACCCCCCCCCAATCACTGTGCGGTAGTAGATGCGTTAAAAATAAAAAATAAAAACGCGAAGCACGAAGCGAAGCCGCACGAGGAGAGAACTGCCTGCCGAGCAGCGCGTACGGTACGCACAGAGCAGAGCGTACAGCGTATAAACAACGCAATGCCCGACCCGCAAATACAAAGGAGATCATCGCAGCGACGGTACGCTACTCCCGGTTAACTGGGCTTGACCACCTGAATGTGGAATTGTAGCCTGTTGCTCTGCGCCTACGTCAGCAGCGGTACGAAGGAAGGAAGCACAAGTACGCACGCAACGCCGTCCCACGTCCCGACCGCGTTAGTCGCATCCGAGTGAATTCAAACCGCGCGATGCAGCGATTTTTTTGGGTCGGAGTTTGCCAGCCGCCGGAATTGGGCAGACCGAAGGGGCGTACAGCGAAGAAAAGCCATCACGAAAGACTGTGGTGAATTGTAGCGCCTCCGGTAGCTCTCGGGTGGTCATAGGATGCCAAGTACAATTCAACGTACACGGCCAGTCTCAGGTTATTTAAACATTTAATTGAAAAAAAAATATATAGCGTGCTTCAAAAAGATGTTAACGCTTCTGAGAATTTGCAACCGCACCACGAGAAGTGTGCTTCCGGGCGCTGTAGACCACCTGGAGCATATTCCAGTCGTGTGTTGACAACGATGGCGAACAAGTGGAGACTCTTTGACTTTTTGAACCTATTAACATTGCATTTGTTACCTTGCTGCAGTGCGTCATTGTTACCCGTTCTTGTTCCCCATGAAAAACGATAGTCCCATGTAAAATGGTAACATTTTTTCGAAGCACCCTGCGCTTGCAAAATACTATTTAACGATATACATCCACAAAGCCGATCGTATGTCTCCTTGAAACGTCAGTCGCTCCGCGTGATGAAATTCAAGTATTTATCACGCAACCCATCGGTCGCACGGCCGTCTTGAAGGCGTGCGGCATTTCTCGAAGCATTGCTTCAAGACAAGCAAACGGCGGAGCGGTTTCGACACGCAGCGTTCTCATCAGCAGCAGAGGCGGTCGGTTTCCGCTTGAGTCAATCGCCAGCATTCGCAACAAAAACAATAATAATCCACGCTCGTAATGCGCGTTTCGCCCAGGTGTCGCAAGGCTCTGCACGGAGCTAAAAGCGAGTTAAGTGAAACCAAAAACTCAACGCAATTCTCAAAACTCTCTACAAGCACGCAGGCTCATCATGTCACCACGGATACAACATATACCACCCCACACACACTGCCAACACACAACACACAGCAACAACGCACTCACCAAGAAGGCCGTGCGGTCGTTGAGGTTGTGTAAAGTAAAAACAATGTCACGTGGACAGATTGACATCAGGAGACGCTTTTTCTTTTTAATCATTAAAATTTTCCACACACGCAAATATTTTATTGGTGAGTTTCGCGCAATATTTGCAACCGTTGCTGCTGGAGTACAGTGCAGCATTTGGATTACATTGTATATCCACCCGCGGTGACCCCCTCCCCCCCTCCCCCATTCAATTAATATTCATGAATTAACTTTATTTATTAATGTTTTTGACTGGGTGTGAAATTACTTGTGTGTATGAATGCGCACTGCGCGAGGTCTCGATTCGGCTGCGGGGCACGCTCCAATCGGCAACCCCGGACCCAACCAAGGCAAATGGAAACATTCCATCTCAAGAGATTGTTACCACCCAGGTGAGACATTTTGACGGAAAAAAATGTTTTATTAAAATAAAACAACACTTAATTATTTGTTTTTACTCTTTTAGCAGGTAAAGGACCCACTGAACTATATGGCTCTTTTTTCAGAAGCGACCTGGCTATCACAAATGATACAGTGAGGGAAACAAGTATTTGATCCCCTGCTGATTTTGTACGTTTACCCACTGACAAAGAAATGATCAGTCTATAATTTTAATGGTAGGTTTATTTGAATAGTGAGAGACAGAATAAAAACAACAAAATTCAGAAAAACGCACGTCAAAAATGTTATAAATTGATTTGCATTTTAATGAGGGAAATAAGTATTTGACCCCTCTGCAAAACATGACTTAGTACTTGGTGGCAAAACCCTTGTTGGCAATCACAGAGGTCAGACGTTTCTTGTAGTTGGCCACTAGGTTTGCACACATCTCAGGAGGGATTTTGTCCCACTCCTCTTTGCAGATCTTCTCCAAGTCATTAAGGTTTCGAGGCTGACGTTTGGCAACTCGAACCTTCAGCTCCCTCCACAGATTTTCTATGGGATTAAGGTCTGGAAACTGGCTAGGTCACTCCAGGACCTTAATGTGCTTCTTCTTGAGCCACTCCTTTGTTGCCTTGGCCGTGTGTTTTGGGTCATTGTCATGCTGGAATATCCATCCACGACCCATTTTCAATGCCCTGGCTGAGGGAAGGAGGTTCTCACCCAAGATTTGACGGAACATGGCCCCGTCCATCGTCCCTTTGATGCGGAGTTGTCCTGTCCCCTTAGCAGAAAAACACCCCCAAAGCATACTGTTTCCACCTCCATGTTTGACGGTGGGGATGGTGTTCTTGGGGTTATAGGCAGCATTCCTCCTCCTCCAAACACGGCGAGTTGAGTTGATGCCAAAGAGCTCCATTTTGGTCTCATCTGACCACAACACTTTCACCCAGTTGTCCTCTGAATCATTCAGATGTTCATTGGCAAACTTCAGACGGGCATGCTTTCTTCAGCACGGGGACCTTGCGGGCGCTGCAGGATTTCAGTCCTTCACGGCGAAGTGTGTTACCAATTTTTTCTTGGTGACTATGGTCCCAGCTGCAATGATATCATTGACAAGATCCTTCCGTGTAGTTCTGGGCTGATTCCTCACCGTTCTCATGATCATTGCAACTCCACGAGGCGAGATCTTGCATGGAGCCCCAGGCCGAGGGAGATTGACAGTTCTTTTGTGTTTCTTCCATTTGCGAATAATCGCACTAACTGTTGTCACCTTCTCACCAAGTTGCTTGGCAATGGTCTTGTAGCCCATTCCAGCCTTGTGTAGGTCTACAATCTTGTCCCTGACATCCTTGGAGAGCTCTTTGGTCTTGGCCATGGTGGAGAGTTTGGAATCTGATTGATTGCTTCTGTGGACAGGTGTCTTTTACTGGTAGGAACGAAGTTGTAAACTGAGTGTACCAGCCTGCAATAGATTAATGTGTCCGTCCGTCCGTCCCCTTTCAATACTTTAACGAAGTGAAATCTCGTGCTGTTGGGTGTAAAATCAGCAATAGACAGCGCAGAGACTTGATATGTCTTATTGCACCCAACATTTGGAAGTCACATTATCTCATTTGCGAACTTCTACCAGCCCACCCTGCAGGGAC